GCACAGGACAGACAGGACTGCTTCAGGCTCGTTGGAAATGACTTAACTCCAGACAGACCCTCCGACTCCTCAGGCCTGGGCTTCAGCTCACTAAAACTGAGGCTCGCCCACAGGATTCTTAGGTTTGGTGGTGTTCTTGGTAAGTTTGCTGTCTTAAGTATGTTTCGCTTAACTATTGGCTTGAGCAGATACAAGGTGGGGAGGGAGTCTGGGATGCAGAGAAAGCATTCAGCAATGTGTGCCCCCAAAGATGGCCACCTCCCAATCCCAGAACCTGTGAATACCTTAACCTACATGGAAAAAGTTAAGGCTCTTGAGACAGGAGTTATCATGGATTATCTGGGTGGGCCCACTGTGACTGCAGGGTCCTCATAAGAGGAGAGAGCCAGGGTCAGAGGTGAGACCGCTGATAGAAGCAGAGGTCGGTCGTGTGGCTGAAGACACAGGAGGGCCACAGCTAAGGAAAGTGGGGGCCTCGGAAGGAACACAGTTCTGCCGACACCTTGGTTTTGGCCTGGTGGGCCAGTTTTGGGCTTCTGATCTCCAGAACTATAAGATGATGTGTCTGTGTTGTTCAGGACCACTGACTGCGTGGCCGTGTGTTACAGAAGCCACAGGAAGTGACAACACGATGCCAGACGTTTCACCGTGTGAATGGCCCAGCACAGCCTTGTACTAATTTCCCTTGGCAAGCTGCAGACAGCCCGAGCCCCCTGAAGGAGGCGCCATGGAAGGGCTGCTTCGGGGTAATGCTTTCGGCACGCGAGACGACCTTATAATGATAACAGAACGGTCAGGCGGAATTTTGTTTTATGACAGTCTAAGACATTTGGATGGGTTCCAAGATTTGTATGAGCCTACGAGTCATTAGATTAAATCAGTATATAATGTCCCCTCCTCTTTTCATAAGAATTATTGTACGCCTTGCTAGGAACAAGCGTAGAATGTCTAAGTCTTCCATTTTTATGGGCTTAACTCCACTTTTCCTTAACAGAAAAAAATGGAGTGACAATAATTCTGGGCCTGAGATAAACTGCTTTATAACTATTTAAATTAAGATCTAACAGGCCCCGACGTGATCAGATTTCTAATCAGGTTTAAACACCAAATTCTATGACTATGTAAACATAACAGCTGTTAACAGTTTACCCTATGGAATTTCCAAGGGTTGAGAGTGAGTTATGGCAACTCTTGCTCTGGCTTTCTAAGATAGAGATGGAAGGAAATGCAGAGAAATGCAAATTAAACCCACAATGAGGTATCACCTCACACCTGTCAGAATGACCATCATCAATAAATCAACAAATGAGTGTTGGCGAGGATGTAGAAAAAGGGAACCCTTGTGCACTGTTGGGGGATTGAAAATTGATGCAGCCACTATGGAAAGCAGTATGGAGGGTCTTCAAAGAGTTATAAATAGAACTACCTGTGACCTAGCAATCCCACTTCTGGGTATTTATCTGAAGAAATCCAAAAGACTAATTAAAAAAGATACATGCACTCCTATGATCACTGCAGCATTACTGACAATAGCCAAAATGTGGACGCAAGGTAACTGCCAATGATAAATGAATAGGTGAAGAAAATGCGGTACATGCGTACAATGAAGTATTATTCAGATATAAAAAAGAATGAAATCTTGCCATTTGCAACAGCATGGATGAACCTAGAGGGTATTATGCTAAGTGAAATAAGTCAGACAGAGAAAGACAAATACCCTATGATTTCACTTATATGTGGAACCTAAAAAAATAAAATAAAACACAGAAAATAAACTAACCCAGAAACAAACTCATAGATACAGAGAACAGACTGATGGTTGCCATGAGGACGGGTGGGGGATGGGTGAAAAAGATGGCGAGATGAAGCACAAATTGATAGTTACAAAACAGCCACAGGAATGTAAAGCACAGCATGGGGTACAGAGTCAATAACCCTGGAGTAACTGTGTGGCGTCAGATGGGCAATGGGTCGCCAGGTGACCACTCTGTAGGTTCAGTCACATGTCTAACCACTGTGCTATGGATCTGAAAGTAATAGAATACTGTGTCAACTGTAAGTGAAGAAAAAATTATTTTTAATGTTAGTTCATGTCTTTGATTGACCCGTACACAATTACTTGTCTTCTGGTTTGTTGAAGCAACAGGTCAGACATTTGCCACAATGTCTGTCAAAGTGGCTGCCATAGAAACTCCGACACCACATTCAGCTGAAGGGCGCCTCCACCAGGGCGACCAGTCTGCCTTCATGCCGCTCTGCAGTGTCTCACGACAGCGGCCTAACCTCTCTCACGCGCGTTCTCGGGAGTGGTGAGGACCCTTCCTCTTCCTAGCAGCAGCACGAGATCTCCACACCAGAGGGAGAGTGGGCCCTTTGGAACGTGCGGGCAGACACGGCCCGGCCGCCTTCCAGGTGTCTGCCAGCCAAACCAGTCTGCTGACCGGGGACCCTTCCTCACTCTGGGTCTCGGCCTTTACATTTCCTGCTGTATGTGAGGGTTCGGCCTGGAGACGGATGGTCTTTCCCACAGGGTTTTCACGAAAATCTGCACCGTGGCGGCAGTTGCACTGCAGACGGTGGTCAGACAGGAAGAGTGCTGCACGGGCCCCCAACGTCCCCACCAAAGGATGGAAGGAAATCCTAGCAAGTCATGTCTTCAAGAGAGAAACTAGAAAATCCGTGGCATGTGGAACCTGCCACAGGGCTTTGTCAGGACAAGATGCGTGGTGGTTCTCAGACACCCTCGTGCACCAACCACCCAGAGGGTCTGTTCACCCCAGATTCCTGGGTCCCAGCCTTGAAGCTCGTGTTTCAGTAGGTTTGGGGTAGAGCCTGATAATCTGTATTTCTAACAAGCGCCCAGGTGATGCTGTTTCTACCAGTCAGGGCCACACTCTGAGAACCGTGGTGGTAGAGGGATCCCTCTTACACAGGGCCCAATGTCTACGTGTCCTGACCACAGACAGGAGCAGGACCAAAAATCTCATCCGACTGAACTGTCCCTGCCAAGCTAGTTAACACACTGCAGTTGCTGACATGTCTCCATCGCCTACTCGACTCCAAGGTGGAGGGAACACCCGCTGGGCTGCCCAGTGGAACTGCCCTCAGGGCCCAGGCCTCCCTCCAGACAAATTAAATCAGGATGGGGCTGGGGGATGAGCAAGTCTCAGTCGTTTTTTTTTTAAATCCTCACCTGAGGATATTTTTCTATTTATCATCAGACAGAGTGGGAGGGAGAGAGAGAAACATCGATGTGAGAGAGGCACATGGACTGGTCGCCTCCCACACAACCTGACCAAGGCCGAGGATGAACTGCAACTGAGGTACGTGCCCTTGACTGGAATCGAACCCGCGACTCATTGGTCCATGGGCCAATGCTCTAACCACTGAGCCAAACTGGCCAGGGCGAGTCTGAGTAGTTTTGAAAACTCTCCAAGCGATCCAAGGGCAGCCAAGATGGAGAACCGCTGCTCCGCGCAACACGAGGGCTGACAGAATGACGCAAGCGGCCGAGGCAGATGTGCGCAGGCCCGCGCTGAGCCCAGGCCTGTCTTCTGCAGGGCTGGGCTCTTGCCTCCTGCACCAGGACACATAAAGGTGCCCAAGCAACACTTGCTGAATGAATGAAAATGAATCGACTGGCCAACTTGTGGAGGACTAGCGCTTCCTTCTCCAGGGTGCCTGGATGAATACACAGAGGAATTCTGTCCTTATAAATCACCAAGCCTCAGGAGGGCAGTAGCCCTATAACAACAGAAGCTCTTTGAGAAAGCTCTGTTTGGAAGATAACTTAACATTCAGAAGTTCAAATACATATAACAACTGTGGATAAGAACTAGGAAATATTTGTTGGTCCAGAATACGGATCGGCAAACTATGTATGACCCACAGGCCAAATCCAACTGCCACCCGTCATTATAAAGTTTTATTGGCACACAGCCACACCATCTGTGTCTGCGCTGTCGGTGGCTGCTTGCACACTGCAAGGGCAGAGTTGAGTGTTTTCAGCTGAGATGGTATGGTTCCCAAAGACAGAAATGTTTACCCTCTGGCCCTTTAGAGAACAAGTTTGCCAACCCCTTCCCTAGAGACATAAGAGGATGTATACAAACAAAATGTGATTGATTGTCTTTAGGTGATGGAATTATGGGTGACTGATTTTTAAAAGTATGTTTTTACTGATTTTAGAGAGAGAGGAAGGAAGAGAAGAGAGAAGGGGAGGGGAAACGGGAGAGAGAGAGAAACATTGATGTGAGAGAGAAACACTGATCAGCTGCCTCCCTCGTGCACCCCGGCAGGGGACTGAATCTGCAGCCCAGGCAGGTGCCCTGACCAGGAATGGAACCAGAGACCTTTGGTGCATGGGATGATGCTCAACCAACCGAGTCACAGCAGCCAGCCTTTGAGATGTATATTTATAGGAACACATTAGATAGGGTAAATGGTGAAACAACTGTAACCACAAGGCCCAAAGGGACTGTCAAGGAGACAGTAAGACCAGCCCCAGTGGATTTATGGCTCAGAACCAGCAGACAAGCAGCTCGGTCCGACATGGCGACACGTCTGCCTTGCAGTGACCCCTGGCCTCGGGACATGCTCACTGTAATTCCTTAGCATGTAAACAACAGCCTGTGCGCCATGGTCGGAAACAGAGAGCCCGTGTAAGGACACAAACTGGCCGATGGGGCTCTTCCAAGAAATCGCCACCCCTTTCCCGGAAAAATCCTGAATATCCCTCCCCCTTACGGCACGCCCGACCCCTCGGTGAAATGAGCTCAATAAGGAGCAGATCCCACGAGGAAGGGCCGCTCTGTCTGTGGAGTGGTCCGTTCTCGGTCTCACTGCCTCACAGATAAACGCACTTTCCCTCAAACTCTATGCGGACTCCTTCCCTGCAGGAAGCCAGGGACCCACAGCCCGGGGCGCCCGCATCTCCTGTGCTGAACCACAAACTGAAGAGAGAGCAGACAGGCGGCTCAGTGCGGCACCAGTGACAGTACCTTGTTTCCAATGGCCTTCTTGGGGGGGAAGTTGTAGGCTCTCACTTGAGGGTATTTGTTCTGTAACTTGTGGTGCAAACTCCTGAACTCTGTGTACCGCCGATAGACATTCCACTCGTCGTCTTTTATCCGGATGTACACCTGCGAGAAAGGAAAGAGAACGAAGGTGGAGACGTCTCTTACACTCGTACGAAGGGCTGGTGCGCGGCGTCCCCGCGCGTGAGAACCAGGTCCCTGAGAGCAGAGGCTGCACCTGTCTCCCAGCCACTGATGCCTGCGCCTGGCACTGAGTGAGCGCGTGGGAGATGGATCAGGAGGGTTACGGACGACACGCTGGACATCACTTCCCCAGTGAAGCTCAGCGCCGCATTATTCATCGCTTTGTCACACGCACACTGCCACAGTGACGAGTCCCTGGGGAGAGTCCACTCCTCTCTGGCTGCGCTCCCTCCTCTGTACGATGGAGCGGACTAACAGCACCTCCTCCCGAGGTGGGATGGACAGCGCTCAGGTACAGAAGCAACGCCCTGTGCCGGGGACCATGCAGACCCTCATGTGGAGGAGGTGGGACTTAATTTGGGGAAGGAGGGAGGGGCCAGAGATCACCCAACTGGACGGAAGAGCATGTCCAGATGGGATGAGCACAATGGGGGCATAAAACATCTTTATTTTAATCAAGCTGTAACTCCCAAGAGAACACTCTGGGGGTACAAAATGTGAGGGCTGTCTTATCAGCTTTTCACAGGCCCCAACACCTTCCAGGACCACAGCAACTACACTGCAAGGGAAAACAGAGACGTGGGAGAGAGACCAGTTCCTTTTTAGAAATTACTTGAGTCAAGGACAAGCTCAGAGAATAAGATCTCCAATGATAAATGGCTGCTGCAACCTGCAACCAGTGAATGTCAACACACCGCTTACTTAAATCCTCTAACATAACGATAAAAGCAAGCATCTCTACGGCGCATCCTGACTCTACATGTTTCATTAACACAGCCAAGCGCCCAGTGCTTCGCTGTGAAAACGTCGAGTCCTCTGCTTCCTCAGTGGCCCTCGTGGCTTCCATGTGGGCACCTCCTCTTCTGCTCACCCCCCGAAGGCGGAGGTCTTCCCTCGGGCCCTCCTCTCCCCTACACGAGCGCCGCTCTCCCGGGACTCCCACTCAGCCTCTAGTTGTCCTTCCTGCCGTGTCCGCCGGTCCGTCACTTTCATCTCCCCGTTCCAGTTCTGCACGCGGCCCTGCAGGGCCAGCAGGTCCTGGGAGGGTGCGGGCACCTCACAGGCTCTTGCCCCATCACAGCCATTTTACTCCAGGCTCCACCCCCTGCTTTGGCAAACCAGCAGACTGCCCGTTTTCCCGCATTTTTTTAAAAATTCTTTAATTTCCTAAATTCTTAAAAATTGCTTTAGCCTTTCTTTCAAGCATTCTATAATATGTTCAGATCAGCCCAAATACCCTGTCCTAGCGACAGCATCCTTGGCCTGTCAACGTTCTTCGTGCTCTTTTTCCTGCGGTGGGTGACAGCAGACATTCAAGATCCCAGAACTTAAGGGTGCTGGGTTAGACAGGAGCTCAGAAACCACTCGTTCACCCCTTCCTTTCACAAGTCATGGGTTGGTGTGACAATACCCCTCTCCCGACCCCACATTCTCCACTTGAGAAGGTGTTCCCAGGTCTGCAGACCGATGACTTGGGGGAAGCCACCTGGACTGAGGATGTGAGTGAACCATCGAGAAGAAGGAACATCATGGGCATGATGACCAGGGCAGGACAAGAGCAAGACCGTTTCGGTGGGAAGGGAGGGATGTGACTTAATGATGTGATCAGTAGGAGACACACTGCATGGCGGTGGTTAAGAGAACAGGCTCTGCATCCAAACTGCCTGATCTAAATCCTGGCTCTGCCACACACAAGCTGCGTGCCCTAAGAAAGTCACTCAACTGCTCTGTGCCTCCACTTCCTCCTCTGAGAAATACGGGTGATAATATTACCTCCCTCACTGGGTCTTGGGAGAATTAAACGAGTTCACACATGTAATGTGCTTACCAGGGCCTGGTCCATAGAAGATACCAGTAAGTGTTCAATAAATAAATGAATAATTTAAAATAACCGCATTGTGGATATTAACTACACATTGTGGGGATTATTTTGCAACACACACACACACATCAAATCATTATATTGTACACCTGAAACTTACATAATGCTACATGTAAATTATACTTTATAAAAAATAAATTAAAAAAATCAGACATCAAAATTAAAGCTAAACTACAACACAACCATCATTCAGAACCACCTGGAATCAAGCTGAATGAAAGTCCTACAACTATGAAATTAAGGAAGCAGCCACATCGAGACTGGTAGGAGGGGCGGAGGTACGGACAGGCTGATCCTACACCCACGTGTGGAGGATAAAAATCAGGAGGACACCTCTGCTGGGAAGGTCCTCCCTGAGGAGTGAGGGGTCCCCATCCCACACCAGGTGCCCCACTCAGGGTTCCAGTGCCAGGAAGAGAATCCCCATAACTTCTGGCTGGAAAAACCAGCAGGAACTGAGGCTCAGGGAGGTTGCAGCTGCTGGAGCCCCAGGCAGCTCCTCTCAAAGGGCCCACACGAACTTACTCAAACTTGCGCCCTCTAAGCTGGGAGGGGAGGCAGCTTGTGGGGTACCAGAGACATACAGGGAAGAAATGAGCTATTTGGCCTCAGGACAAGGGCTGGAGAGGGGGTTTTCTCCTGGACAGAGGTGCTGGCAGAGGCTGATGTTCCTTTGGTGAGCCCTTCCCTGGGGTGGCAGACAGGTGCCATATCTGGGACTCCATCAACCTGGCTCATACTGTTTGCCCCACCCTGGTGATTCCCTGAGGCCCCGCCCCACCCAACTTTCAGGCCCACTCAAGCTGTTTCCAAAAGCTTTACCATAGGATCGGCCTGTCTTGGGTCCTGCTTCAGAGTTTCCTAAAATCTCTCAAACAAGCAGCATCTGGTCTCAGCGAACCCCACACCTCTCGTTAAGTGGCCCCAGGCCTGACACTAGAAGCAACCAGACTTGGTTCACAACTTGGCTTTTCCTGGGCACCTCCAAGCCCAGCACAAGAAGCAGCCATCTGTAGATCACTTTGTAGCTTATGCCTGGTGGCCCCGGACAGAACACAGGCAGAGGCTGACCTGTGCCAGAGCCAGCACACCCAGTGCACAGCTTCAGACCACATTGAAACACCACCACCCAACCACCTCCACAAGTGACAAACTCGAGGAGTGGACTCAGTGGGTAACAGAGCCCTGCTGAAGTCAGTCTTGCTGTGTGTGATGGGCCCCTGCACAGCTGATCCTCCAAGGTAGTCAGAGGTCAGTGGTCAGTGGGCACAGCCAGTCCTTGCAGCTGGTCAGCCTGAGTAAATCCCTCCCATTGACATGCCAACAGCAATCAAGGCTCAATTACATCAGAAAGGTGTTACAGTCCACACCAGGGGGGCACCTCGAGGGCCCAGCTGGGGTGATCAGGCAGGCTGTACCATTGGATCCTACAGGACACCTACAACAATAGGCCACCCTACAAAGTCTAGGAGACATAGCAACTCTACCTAATACATAGAAACAATCACAGGGAAGCAGCCAAAATGAGGTGACCAAGAAACATGTCCCAAATGAAAGAAAAGAACAAAACTCCAGGAAAAGAATTAAAATGGAGATAAGCAATCAATCAATCAATCAGATGCAGAGTTTAAAACACAGGTTATAAGGTTGCTCAAGGAACTTGGTGAGACATTCAAAGAACTTAGTGAGACCATCAAAAACATCAAAAAGGACCAGTCAGAAATGAAGGATGCATTAACTGAAATAAAGAATAATTTACAGGGAATCAATAGTAGAGTAGGTAAAGTCAAGAAACAAACCATTGATTTGGAATATAAGGAAGAAGAAAACACCCAATCAGAACAGCAAAAGAAAAAAGAATCCAAATAAATTAGGATAGTGTAAGAAGCCTCTGGGAAAACTTCAAGTGTGCCAACATTTGCATCATAGGGGTGCCAGAAGGAGAAGAGAGAGAACAAGAAATTGAAAACTTATTTGAAACAATAATGACAGAAAAATTCCCTAACTTGGTGAAGGAAACAGACATACAAGTCCAGGAAGCATAGAGAGTCCCAAAACAGATGAACCCAAAGAGGCCCACACCAAGACACATCATCATCAAAATACCAAAGGTTAAATACAAAGAGAGAATCTTAAAAGCAGCAAGAGAAAAGCAGTTTGTTACCTATAAAGGAGCTCCCATAAGACTGTCAGCTGATTTCTCAAAAGAAACTTTGCAGGCCAAAAAGCAGTGGCAAGAGATATTCAAGGTGATGAAAAGCAACAACCTACAACCAAGATTACTCTATCCTGCAAAGCTATCATTTAGAATTGCTGGACATATCAAGAGTTTCCCAGACAAGAAAAAGCTAAAGGAGTTCATCACCACCAAACCAGTAGTATATGAAATGTTGTAGGGTCTTCTTGAAGGAGAAGAAGAAAAATATGAATAAAATAACAATTAATACATATCTATCAACAATTGAATCTACAAACAAAATGAGCAAGCAGAAAAGAAACAGACTCATAAATACTGAGGACTTATTGTTGCTTGACAGATGGGTGGGGGCTAGGGGGATGGGTGAAGAAGATGAAGGAATTAAGAAGTACAAATTGGCTGCTAGACTGATGAACCTCAAAGGGAAGGGAGTAGGGAGGGCAGGATGAGGTAAACCAAAGAACTTCTATGCATATATGCATAACCAATAGACACTGACAATAGTGTGGGGAAGGCTGGAGGGGAGCGGGATTGGGGAAGTGGGGGGACCAATGGGGCAAAAAGGGGGCAATATCTATAATACATTCAACAATAAAAATGAGTTTAAAAAATATATAAATTTTAAAAATCACCTTATCAATTAGATTGTCACAGGGAATGACAAAGATTTGGATTTTGGAAATCTCTGATCTTGGTGATCAGCTTTCACATGAATTTCCTCCAGTGGTTTGACTGATGGAGACTGGGCTGCAGTGACACATCAGGACACTCATGGCTGGTTCATGACCTACAGCAGCATCCCAGTAGTCAGCACCTCCACCACCCACTAGCTATGTGATGGTA